GAGAAATCTCCATTCTTGTTGATGTACTTTTGTGCAGTCAACCGCATCTATAACGGAATTTTCATGGTTTACAGATATTGATGTTAACTTGGAAAAAAATACCTCTTTCAACAAATTTCTGAAAAGCGCTCGGAACAAGAAAGCTAGCAATGGACCCGCAAGATCCAGTCTTTTATTCCCGATGTGATCACGATCGTCTAGCTCACGGCGACCCAATGCAGCTAGTAAAAGCCGATGGACCATGTAACCAATGAAATACTAGAAAAATAGCATCAAACGAACAATAAGGAAAATATCTGGAAGCTGACTTACAGCTTTCTTCGTTTCACAAAAATCTGAGACTCCAACATGTGGAAGTAGCTCTTTTTGTAGAATTTCTTTAGCGTATTTGATACGTTGCTCTTTCGTTACTCCTGGCTTCGCACCACGGGCACCGATAAAGTTCAAAGCGACATTCTGTTCCTGAAAAGCTTATGTGCCTGAATGATGGATCAAAGCCCGACGGAAGATGTAAACGCATAGAAAACGGAGCACCGATTAGGAGGATATTTTGGTCTTTGCTTACCTGAATGACAAAAGCTTCATCAAGTGAAGGCTTGACCATTTCCATCATTTCAGGATCTTCAAAATCATAGATGATGTGTTCCAAGATATCACGATCTGATACAAATCCTAATGCACGGAATACGATCATTACAGGAATTTCCTAAACAAAACTTTTCTAACTTCGGAAAGGAAAAGTTGCGATTATGAGCCAACCTGCTTGATATAGGGTAAAATGGCTATGATTCGCTGTCCCATAGCTGTTTTCTTTGCTCCACCACCACTTCTCGCCATCATGTTCACCCACATAGTCGAAGTGGGACGGCTGAAAGAATAATAATCGCTGACGATAAAGCTGATAAAATTATGTGTATCACCTGGAATTTTCAAGGCAGGAACGACACTCGGCTTTGAAAGCATACTTTCCGTCTTTCATGGAAAATACGTACACAGTGTTTGTGGCCATTTTCTCTTGTGCAATAAGGACCTTAATGGTTATTAAGGCTGTTGCGTTGAACACGAGGTAAATTAACTACCTTTTCGGAACCGTTGATAACAAAATAACCGCCTGGATCCAGAGGGCATTCGTTCAGCTCCGTAAGATCACGATCTGACATATTAGACAGCATACAATAACTGGATCTGAAAACAAACATTTTGAAGTGACGATGCATATTGACGCCCCGAATGTGATTTACCTTAACATGATGGGGATCTTTCCTACGAAGACTTTTTCGTACTTCCTTTCCGTCACATCGTCATCCCTTTGGATTTGCTTGGTTA